ATTGTCGAGTGACACAACGAAAAGCCTAGTACAGATAGAATTACATGTATTGTCTTGAACACCATCTCATTAACTTGAACTAGTCTTTTCCATTTATGTGTACTTTTCTCCTATCTAACGTCGAATGCGCTGTTGCTCATTGAACCCTAAAAAGATTGAGATAGAATATTTGCACATTGCACACTAGATTTAATTCATGTGCCTTTATGAATAGAAAAATGAGATGCAGATGTGAGTTGTGAGTGAAGAAATGTTTGATGTCTCATAAAAAGATCAAAATGAACATATATATGCAGATTATTCAGAACGATCAGTGTTTGAGATCTACACCATATGCCTCGTTTTCGCTTTCTGAGATTCAATAAATGATATTAAAATCTAAAAAATTTAACTTTTGAAAATTGAGATCTTGTGGTTAGGTGTTTTTATACATAATCATCAAACCGAGATCGAACAAGAAGGTTTCCCTATATTCTTTCTTCTTTCTCTCTTTTGTTCCACATGCATACCACCGACATAATTCAGCATTCACAGTGCCAAAAAAGCGTTTCGCGTTTTGGAAAGTGTTTTGTATGTCTTCCAGTTATTCTTGCTGTAGTCGTGATACTTGTAGAAGGCACACAGTTTTTTTCTCAAAAAACAATGAAATATCATAAATAATGAAAAAAGACAAACAAAGTCTTATTCAAAACAAGAAAAAAAACAAATTTACACGAATAAACACGTCTAGTTTATATATATACAAACAATATATATACGGAATACACAAAAAATACTGCACAATCGAGAAAAAATGGAAAACATACAAAAAAAGATCAAAGAATTTTATCAGAACATGTAAAGAAACGTATCTTATATTTTAAAAAGAAATTTTGTCCGCGATATGGCTAGTATTATTCTCTAGAATGTTATCCTTATGCGTTTCAATGCGAAAAGAGAATGTCTGCCGTGAAACTAACGCAGCTAACAAATGGCTGAAACATAAAACTGAAATGACAAAAGCAAAACAGAAAACTTGTTCTTTATTTTAAAAAAAATGAATTTACTTTTTTTCGAAAAGAAAAAAAGAGTATCTACATGTATAGATAGATATATAGCACAGTGATGATGTATAACATAGAAAAAAATTACGCTGATTGCATAATAAAAAAAACCCGTTGTTTGATTTTTTTCCCCCAATGTTATGTCGTCCGTTGTTTTTTTCTTGGTGGTCCACATGCTCCTTTCTCTTTGGCCATTGCTAAATATGCATCGGCTATCAAGTGTGGATGGGTGCGTATCATTGTCTGAAATCCAGGTGTGTCAAATACTTCTAAAATAGACAGAAAAATACATTTTATCTAATTATAAAAAATATGTTTATCTAATTTCTGATTAGCACAGACAGCTAAAGTGCAGTTGTTCTCATGATGCCTCAACTAAATAGAGTAAAAGTAGTCCTGTGCAACAATCAGTTCTGCACTGAATTTTTTGACATGCTTATGAACACAAATGATCAGCAATAATCGTCAAATCCAGTTACAGATATATATCTAGATTGCTTCATTTCTTTTAGGCAAAGTACACCTGCAATGATTGTGTACAATATTTCCTAAATACTATAATTAGCTGAGATACTATTATCTAATTGTTGAAAAATCAGAAATCCTTGTACTTTTTAGTGCAAGATTTTTCAGTAAACTAAGAGACTAATAAAGTTTTCTTCACTGTGGGAAATGTAGAACTATCCGACAGAACACTAGTACAGATATCTAAATTAATAATCTGAGAATTTACCTCAACTACTAACAAATCTCTGAGAATACATTAGTAAAAAATAAATTAACTATTCATTACCTTGTGCATGTGCATTTATATAATCGATCGCTTGTTGTTTCAATTGCTGAGCTGAATGTAAATCAGCTAGAATCAATGTATCAGCAACATTATCTTTATCACATAGACTACATAATGTTTCTTCACATTGTACTTTCAAACGTTCTAAACCGTATTTATCAGCTGCACTCAATAATGAGTCAGCCATTTTATCAATATTTATCGTTTTTCCCGTATATAAAAATCTTAATAGTTCATTCATTACATCACTATCAATATCTTCGATTTTAACTCGGCTAGATTGATTCTCTAACATTTGATGTTCGAACATTGCTAAGGAAAAACAATAATAAGTAAATAAAAATAAAATATAGATGATGTATCGCTAATCTTACCTTGAAATACTCTTGATCTTGCACTTAATATTGCTTTATGTACCTTATATTCTCTTTGACCACATACTAATGTGACATCAGAATAAACAGGATTATCTAATAATAGTTGAAAATCTTCAGGTAATCTACAATCTGGCACTTTAAATAAACTGATGGGCGTTTGTCCACAAACATTAACTGAATCAGCCACAACACTAACTTCACAAAATAACGTCAGTTTATCATCGGGTAACAATCCATTTGTTTCATCAATTAAAAAATCACGTCGAATAAATTTCTTGAAACCCCAATCCTTTCCTTGAACAAAACGATAAGCACGCTGTGATTCCATTGCTTTTGTTTCTTCACCTTTTGCATTCAATATGGAAAATTTAAATTTAGCACGTGTTTCAGTTTTATTGTTGCTAGCAGCTACCAATAATAAATATAATGATAAATAATCTTTTGATTCTTCATCTAAACCTTTAGGATTCAAACGTAAACACCATTTTAGCTTATCATTTGAACATGCACTGAATGAAGATGATTTTAACGCTTCTCCCATTTCTTCGCGACAAAATGAAAAATTATTTATTGTCCATGTGTAAGAGAATCTAATGACCTGGATAAAAAATAGTACTAAAATGTATATTTTTGATTAATACTTATCAGTGTCTATTTACTTTGACTTGAGTATAACACCAAGACTCTGATACGGGTTGTGGTGTTGATGGTTGTTGTGAAGTTATTTGTTGTTGTTGTTGTGTTTGCGCACTATTACTGTTGCTTGTATCACTGGTTGAATAATGAGCCGAAGGGGAAGGTGCACGAATAGCAACGATCTGTGGTGAATCGGGTAGCATAACATTCATTATTCTATCACAATTACAAACACACCAATGTGTGCTTGCTGGTGAGAGACGAAGAGAAGTATAAATAAAGAACAGAGGACTATTTGATTTAAAAACTGAAAATCTAAAATAGAAACAGAATAAATATAGACATATGAAGTAGAATGAGACGATAGAGGACAAAGATTAAATTTTCCGAGAACGATTCCGAGACTAAATGAATCGCCAATACTTAGAAAACAACACTAATTAAGATGAATATTGAACAAAAAACAAAGAACATCGAGTAAAAGGCGCTATCGTTTCTGATAACTTAACATTAGTATAATTAATAATGCATCAGAAATAATTAAATTCTTTTTCAATTTAGTTGTAGTCATCTGTTTAGGGACGGACACACACAACTGATTGTATACTTCGATCTTGGCTATAATAAAGATGATCAAACAAGGAACATAAAGGTATAAATGCATTTTGAGATACCAGTGATTCAAGTTTTTCAACCAGTCAAAATTTCATTTATAATCAAACATGTTCAGTCAAATAAAAATAAATCAATGAACTTCAAACTGACGTTTAGTTCCGTTAGATCGAAACAATACTTGCCGATGAACTGAAAGATGTGAGAGAATATTTAGATGTTTTGTGAAGAAATAGTCTCTTATTATTCCGTTTTTCAATTTATAATCTACCGCCAGGATTCGTTCGTAAATCTGGCGCAAATTTAGTTTTCATTAAACTGTGATCCAGTTTTATTATAAAAGTTAGATATCATGTCGAATATAAATGTATATTTAACGCAGAATACATTAATTAATGCGGCTGCTTTAAAACCTTTCATTTGGATATTTCGACCTGTTTATTCGGTCATTTTCAACATACTAACAACAAAAAACAGCAACATAACCTATACATGGCTCTTTGTTTTCTCTGACATGGATGGAAAACATGTGATACATTCCAGAGATCGAAAGAAGAAAAACGTCCGTTAAGATAAAAAATGGGTGGGACTCTTGCTTCTCTGTGTTTTTCTTCTTTCGATCTCTGGAATGTATCACATGTTTTCCATCCATGTCAGAGAAAACAAAGAGCCATGTATAGGTTATG